CCTATCAGTTCCTTATAAGACTAAACTATTCGTTCACAGTCTAGACAGGCAGTGAGACCCCTCTTGGAAAAGACTGTAGTGTATTCTTGATTCAGTTGGTCTTTGACTGAAGAATTACACTAGCACTTATGATAAATGTTGCACAGGACCGCGAAAGGATAAGATTATGAGACTCACTGATCGTTGTTGTAATCTAGACCTTCGGTGATTGATGCGTTCTCTTAAGCTGTAAGATAATATAAAATAGGCATATATATTCACTTCTTATTTATTTGATTTATCAAGTGATTCCTATTTGTATTAGGATGACATACGAGGTACTTTGGTAAATAAGAATGATTATATGATGTGCTATTATAAATTATTTATGGTCACTATGTTCCAGTGCGCTGGATTGATGACGTCCTCGAAATGAGCTCAGGAATGTACATTATGTTAAAACCCTGCAGGTAGACGATTGTCTAACATAATGGTTAAGGATCTGAGTGGTACTAATTTCGGAAATGAATAAGAAGTTGATTAATTATTTTGTCAGTAATTTAATTAATCAACGAACGTTATATCTTAAACATAGGGAGGTAAATCGATCAATCAGATTAATATTATTTAATCATGGAGGCTTGAATTTATTGATAAATTAGGAGCTAAACGGGAAGAGCAATAATATTACTCTAGTGGGATATTTTATTATTTAATTCCATTTAATAAGAAATTAATTTTATTCCATATTTATTATTCCATTGGGAAGAGAATATTCCTACTAGAATCTTGTCTAATGTTAGGAGACTTGAGAGTCTTCTAGAAGGTGATGAGTAGTATGAGAGTTCTATCCTAGATTGGATTAGTAGATGATGGAATGAGATTATGATTCCTTGGCCTAATGGGATAAGCTCATATTTAGCACCTCCTTAAGGTCTCTAATGGAGCCTATAAATACACCATGTCCCAACCTCTTGAATAGATGCTAGTGGCCGATTTTTCTCTCATACATACACGTGAGATATAGCATCGTTCGAGAGTTTGGGAGATTCGATTAATCGCTCCACCAAGATTAATCGAAGTAGGTGTTTAGGTAATCCGTTAGAAGGCTTTTGGGTACAATATATTCGAGAGTTTTCCACACATAAATTTTCAGGGCATATTCCTCAGCCGATCGCCGCCGTCAACAGCCACCGGAAATCGCCACCGCCGCCCGAAGTCGCTGGAAGCCGCCCAGCCGCCCGCAGTCGCTAGCCAGCGGCATCAACCGTGCGCAACCAAATGTTTGTTATGTTTTTGTGTGTTTTTATTGTGTTTTTACTTGCTTGAGTCGAGTGTTTTTTAAGTTCCGTTTGTGCGTCCCGGTCCATTTTGTGTTCGTTTTTATTAGCTTTTCGTTTTTGAGTCATTTTCGTATATTTCTCTATTTCTTTTGTGCGTTTGGTGTTTTGTAGGTTCGGAAGGAAAGAATTGTCGTTCCGTGATATGCCGTCCCGAGTGCTTAGTCGTGAATGTTCGTTGTTGAAATCGGAGTGTCGATTTATAAAGTCAAAGTTTCAAGGTGAT